ACCTGCTCTGGTAACACATGGGGGTCATTGTCGTTGATACCTCTGTATGACCCCAGATTTTCATCTACTTTTTTGGCTCACGTATTTCCCTGACCAGACAGCACATGAACTGATGAGCTTCTTCCATTAGGAGCTGACAACCATCCCCTAGTCTCTCTCTTCTGCTTCCTTTGATTCCTTCTCCTTTTGTTGTTCCTTTATTCTACATGGACCTTGTTATTCACTGCTTCCCATTCAGGTGTATAATGGGCACCTCAGCAGAAAGTCATTTGAACATAAATAAATGTGTATTTTCTGGCATTCGTTCACAGTGCTGTCTGCAAATCCTCCTCAAGGTCTCTTCTAATCATACATTATCTTTAGGTCACCAACTTCACCCTAAACTCTTTCCTTTCAGAAGATGGTCTCAGTTTCTAAATTTCAAATAGAGTGTGAGGCCGTTTCCCCTGATGTGTCTCAACTTCCTTGTCACCTCCATTTCTCCCTGTCCTCCTCCTACAACTCTATTTGCATTGTCTTCCTTGATCCTCCCTGGAAGGAATTTCCATTCTTTTCCTGGCCTAACCTCTCTACTTTGTGTTCCTGATCCTGTCTGTTCTTCTCTTTAACCCCCCACTTTGCTAAGTTCCTCCAGGCTCTGCATGCTGAGTCCTTTCCTTTGTAAGCAAAGTCTGAGGCAGTAGAAATCCCTAGGAAGTACTTCCATTGCCTCTATTTACTCCTTCCTCATTCACCTGATGTGATGGCTTAGTGGTAAGGAGGGGCACTGCCAAGCCTAAGGTAGGTGGTTCAAATCTACCTACCACCTGCTCCGCGGGAGAAAGTTGAACAGTCTCTTCCCATTCAATTCCCAGTCTCTGAAAGCCCACTAGAGAGTCAGCTATGAGTCAGTCAGTTCTTACTAGAAGGTACCTAACAGCAACCACCATCTTTGTAAAGGTTGCTCCATCAGATGAACTCTCCCCTCTACCTCCTCATGTAGAGCTCTCTTGGTGGTTCTTCTAGCTAATCTTGGTTTGCTTCTTCATAATTTCTACAAGTAGGTTTCCCTCGTAAATCTGACACACACTCTGTTTCTTTCCTCCTCCTTTGAATTTTTATTGGTTATCTTTCATCTTCATAGCTTCCTGCCTCTCCTGATTCCCCCTTAAGAATTTCATCTATTCCCAAAACTTGAATAATTCATAAATTTGTCTCTAAACTTGACCTTTTCTCAGGGATCAGATTCTTTATTTCTAACTGCCTGTTAAATATCTACAATAGGCCATCTCCTCAGCGTATCAGCTGTCTGCAAGCAGGCTCATTAATCTCACCAGGGTCTGGTCTTCTCCTACCATTTCTGACTCACTGATTGGCATGCCCATTCTTTAAGCTACCCGTAATCACTTTTGATTATCAAACCCTCATAGATTCTATCATGGTGTGTCTGTTACATTTGGCCCATCTTAGAGTGCTCACCAAGCTATACCTAGGTAGTTACTGAGCCCGAGCCTCTTATCTGTCCAGGTCAGAGTGCATGTTGCATTTATCTTTACTTACCACTTGATGTCAGGTACAATGCCTTACCCAGAGGAAGGCCTCCCTGTGTGATGAGTGAAAAATTGTCAACTGAGTATTCTAGTGCTTTACTTGGATTTTATGTACTATTTGCCACTGAATATATTTTACATCCTTTTCTTGATACTTTTATTCTTAGTAAGTAGGCAAGCAGCAGAATCAAGTTGTAGGCACAGAGCCTTGGCCGCTGTACTTTCTTTTTCAGGAAGAGTGATTAGTTAAAGGTACATAAGTCAAGAGGCTTTAATTTAGCTTTCCTCGTTGAGAGCCAGATAGAATGCATAGTGTTATTATCTTTTTATGGCAATTTGCGATAACTTCCATTGCCCTTTGTACATTGATTACTCTGCTTTTTATCTTCCTTATTTTTTTAACAGGCTTTTGAAATTGGTACTATTCCTATGGCATAAGATACTATTGATAGTATATCAATATGATTCAGCTCTTCCGCTGCCCAGCAGAGTGTGGCCACTCTGTGCACAGACTTGTAATACATATGAGTTACACAGACATTAGAGAGGCCCTTCCCATCCATATGTATGTGTGTCGTTGGTGGAAGTTAATAATGCCATATATCACATGCACGTAGAATGTAAAATGTACTTCAGATGACAGCAGGCTCATATAAAATGAGTATTGGCTCACTATTAGAGGAAAGTAGGAGAAGATTTTTGTCATTTCAGATCTACTGTTTACTGAATTATTTGTTTATCTTGCTGTGTCTCTGTATCTCAAACCATATTCTCCCTTTTTTGGGGGGGTGAGGGGTTACCAGCATGTGCCTCCCTCTCTGGTCACCTTATTTCATTCCAGCCATATGGATAACAAAAGAACCCTTTGGAGAAATGAAAGATCGCAATTACACATTGGTATTCATGTTACCAGAGTCACAGTGCCGTCCTCCGGGAGTTTAACAATGAATATCCGACATTAATTGCCACAGTAGCTGCATGTCTGACCTTGCTGAAATGTAATCCAGTATGTCAGTTTTACATGGTGAAATTATTTGCCACTAAATGATTAAAATAGAATGATCCTAAAATTACATTACTGTGTAGAATGACCAGGTTTTTTGTTGTTAAGAAAATACTAGAAGACTAAATGACGTAAGTGCCTACATTTTTCTTAAGCATCAGGACACTAGGAGTTGAAATACCCATTTTATCACTGATTTGTTGACAATTATGGCAAGATTGGTGTCTTCTTACCCTTAGGAAAGGAGCTCTGGCATAGTGCCTTACATGGTGTGCTGGGAACTGCAAGGTCAGTGGTTTGATTTCACCAACAGCTCCGCAGGAGATAGGTGGACAGTTTCCTCCCCATAAAGATTTACAGCTTCAGAAACCTATTGAAGCATCATTAGAAACAACTCAGCCTCAGTGTTTTTTGGTTTGCATCGTCCTTACCAAAAAGAGCCCTAGTGACTTAGTGAATTATCTGCTGGGTGCTAAGTGAAAGGTCTGCAGTTTGGGCCCTCAAGTCCTCCACCTTCTTCTACTGGGAAAGATGGAAAGTCCACCCTCTCCCACACCCTCCTGCCCACTCAGCAGTAAAGATGTGAACCTTAGAAACTTGATTGAGAAGGTCACCAGGAGCAAAAATTAGCTCCGTAGGAGTGGGTTTGGCATAGTGGCTACATTATAAACTGCCAAGGGAAAGGTGGGGAGCTCTGGTGGCATAATGGTAAGGTGCTCTGTTGCCAATCTGAAAGCATGACCTTCAAATCCAGCAGCTGCTCCCTGGGAGAAAGACCAGCAATCTCCCTGTGTAAGTTACTGCCCCTCTTGCTGGAGGGTCAGCTATGAGTCTGTTCATAGTGAAAACAACAACAAGGAAAAGGTTAGTGGTTCAAGCTCACCAGCTGCTCCATAGGAGAGCAATGTGGCAGTCTGTTTTCATAAAGATTACAGCCTCTCAGACCCTGTGGGGCAGTTTAAGTCCCATCAGGCCTCTAGGAATGGATGACAATAGTTTTGGGTTTGTGGAGTTTTGTTTTTGTTTTCAAGTTTGGGTTTCAGTGAAAGATGAATAAAATACATTTCCTTTTAATCACCTGATAGGTCAATGGAGTGAATATAGTAGTATTTTTTTAAAAAAATTAAACTTTATTCTCATAAAAAGATATGTAACAAAACATGCCACCTTAACAATTTATACATGTATAACTCAGTAACATTTTTCAAACTGTGCAGCTAGTTCTCACTACCCCTTTCCAAATTGTTTCACTGTGCGTGTGCTACCTCTTTAGCCATTAGGGAAACTGTCCTTTGTTTTATACTTAAGATTTGCTTTGTGTCAGAGCAGTATGGCAGTGTAGTGTTTGATTTGGGTTGTTTTGGGTTTGTTTTTTTTATTTGTGTGTGTGTGTGTGTGTGTGTAGGACAAAGATGCTGGGAATCCCAGGACATGTTTCACTTTTTTAAAGAAGTGACATAATATTTCAAAGTGAAGTCTACTTGAAGTCCATTCTCCTTGCCTTTTAAGAAATCCAGACACTAGGTTATCTTTTTTTTTTTTTTTTTAATCCATGCCTCTGTGGCCCTTTCTCCCCTGGCTGCCCTGGCCCTGATGTGGTGTCACACCCTGGGAGGATTTCACACTAACTGCTTTGGAAGCTGTCATCACTCAGTGAGTTCACCCTGCTGGGTCAGCAGTGAGCTCCCCTCGGACAATGCCACGTCAGCGGCCTGGCCACACTCGATGGGGCCATGGAAGCTGTGTGGGCAGAAATGAATGATTGTTCAGGCTTCTCTCCTTTTTTAAAAGGAACTGAGATGAAGGAAGCCCGCGCACTCACCCATGACATCGGAATTTCAGCTAGATGAGATTCTAACTAGAGATCCATTTTTTGCTTGTTTTCTGGAAAAATGAGTACATGATAAACTTCAAATCTAGGGGGGATTGAAATAAGCTGAATGACTGGCTGGGCCATTTTGACCCACCTTTTAAAGTAAGGCTGTTGATTAAATATGATGTGTATTGATGACAACTACTTAATATGATTTAGTTACTGTTTTAGTGTTTAAATGATAGAAGCTTTATTTGATTTTCCAATTTAATAGCTTAAGGGATTGTTTTCTTCTATGTATTGGCCAGGCCAAAAAATGTTATAATATACATTTAATTATTGTGATTTTGGGAACTTGGATTCTCATCTTTAAAGTTAATTTAGTTCCCTAACCCCCCCCCCCCCTTTTACCTTTAACGTATTCAGGTCAATGTAATGTTTTATGTTTTGATTAAAGTTGAGCCTGGCTTCTGTACCATTGGAAGGAAATTCTTAACCAGACTTCTAATTTACTCCGAATCTTTAAAAGAAATCATTGTATAAAGCCGCTCCAGAGACTATAACTTTAGTTAGCTTTTCCTCACCCCCTGCCCTTTATAATTTTCTCTCCCCCCCCTTTCCTTCTTCCATCCATCACTGCCATCTGAAATTATAGCAAGATGATGAAGTGACTACGGTTCAGGTTAAAGAGCAAGACCAGAGCGTGCTGGTGCTGAAGAAGGTGCCAGGCTGCGGCCCAGCCCCCACATCTGGGAGTGCGGAGAGTGATTGGAGGTGAGTGTCCCCCTGCAGCCCTCGCAGGCACGCGCTCGAGCTGTTCCCGGCCCGCCTTCCCTCCTCTGGCTCCCTCTCACTCACTCCCTCTGCCTCCTCTTCCCTCCCTCCCTCGCTTTTCTCTCCGCCTCTCGAGCGTTCAAGCTGACTGCAGAGCTCTTAGGAGCCAGATGGATTCCGCTCGCTCTGAAAGGACAGAGGCGGCTCGGTCTAGGAGCATTTAGGGGGATGCTTTTGTTACTGACTGTTCACAATGGGCAGCTCCCGGCTGAGGGTCTTTGACCCTCATTTAGAGAGGAAGGATTCTGCGGCGCTCTCAGACCGAGAGCTGCCCTTGCCAACCTTCGATGTGCCTTATTTCAAATACATTGATGAGGAGGATGAGGACGATGAATGGAGCAGCCGCTCGCAGTCTTCGACTGAGGATGACTCAGTGGACTCTCTGCTCTCTGACAGATACGTGGTGGTGTCCGGGACTCCCGAGAAGATTTTGGAGCATCTTCTGAATGACTTGCACCTGGAAGAAGTCCAGGACAAAGAAACAGGTACGGCGAGGGGGTCTGCTGCGGGGAGGGAGTCTGCTGCGGCGGGACTCCCTGCTGCTGGACTCTTATCTGTATGCCTGGGGGGCAAGGTTCCCTCTGCTAGCCAAACTGGCTTGGGGGGAAATAGCTTCTGCTTTGTGTGCCTCCCCCTTTGCCTTGCTTTGTTTTGTTTTAATCCGGTAAATGGACACATGTAGCTCCCTAGTCACTACCGAGGAGGAAGTAGCTGTACAAAGAAAATCCAGTGAAGGCAGTTGTTCTTGCACCTTTGGCAATCTTCTGCCAAATCGTCCCCGAAGGCAACTGGCGAGAGGCCAACATTCAGTATCCAGTGTGTAATGTGATGAAATCGAACGGGTGCGTGTAGGGGGGCGCGTGTGGTGGGGCCCTGGGTAAGTTAGCAAGCATTCACCTGGCGGCTAGAAGTGCTGAGCCGAGGAGAGCAGCCTCCCTGCTGAAATGCCAACAATTAAGGAAACTCCTCAGCAGCTCTGGGTCCAGCAGCAACTTGTGTTGCTTTGGGTTTGGTTTGTGGGGCTTTTCTTTTTTTTTTTTTTCTTTCCTCCTTCTTCTTTCTTTTCCCAAGTGGTTTATAAACTGCCTGCTCAGAGCAAACCCTGGTAAGCAGATATGATGTTTATAGCTTTTCACACTAGCAATTGTAATTCACTAAAGGCTTATTGATCAGATTTTTCGTCCTCCTCCATTGAATCTGGGAGGAAAATACCTATGTAGCTTTTGCAGCCATGCGCCTTTGGAAACACTGCCACTGTTTGCAGAATGACTTTACTCACACTTGTGTCTACCATAAGAAGGAAGAGTGCTTGCTTTTCTTAACCGGAATTTGTCATTTGTTCCAGTCTGGAGCAGTTATTCCAAAGAATAGGCCTCTTGGCCCTAGCTTGGGTTCTGTAGCACGATCCCTTGACTGAAATGCACTTTTTAGTACCACCATTGCACCTGTGATGGCCTCAGTTAGCGCTATGTTGATTGCATCAAGAAAAGGCAGCTGTTCGTTGTGTTAGCACAGGGGAAACCCCTTAGGTTTGCACAGTCCAGAGGGGACTGTAGATGACAAGGGAAGTAGAAGCAATAGTTGCCCTGGGTCCCAGTAGTTTTGCCTGCATACAGTTGGTGTTTGGGTCTCTCTTGCATCCTAAAGGATGATAAGAAAAACAAGGATGTCTGAAATACATAAACAGACTTTTTTTTAAGGTAGCTAAATAACAAAATCATACATCCTACAGTTATAATTTGACCTCAAAATTCAAAGAAATGTTTTCTTTTGCATATATTTGGGAAGACAACTAATAGTTGTCATTTTTTACATATGTACACAGTTACATGAAAAGAAAATTTACTCTTGTGTCATTTGCTGACTTATTTTTGTGTGTTTGTAGATGAATAGTTTGCTTATATGAGCATAGTTCCCATGTCCTGCTACATCAGACATAATCTTCATGAGACTGGGCATAATTTTCCAATGCTGATGACCGGAATGCTTTACACAGGTGGTTTAGACTAGTGCACTTTATAGTTGTCTGTCAGAAAAAGCACATCCCTAATCACGGGTAGAGGTTTGAGCAGGTAGAATGCGTTCTTTTTTTAATGTGAGACTTTTTATACATTAATATTATTAATCATAGCAATTATTTAAGGTAATATTAGGTCTACATTGATATTTCTTTTTAATTTCTTTTGTAGTTTGCTTTTTGTTTTTAGCCTTTGGCCTAAGTCCCCTTTAGCAGGTTCTAGCTATTTAACACTGAGTGGGAAATCAACTTCATTGCTGTTGACAATAGTAGTAGTTGCCTGCGGTTGGGAAATATTGAGATATACAGTTACACACACACACACGCAGAGAGAGACTCTGAGACTGGAGACTTTCAGTTCACTCTCTTCTCAATAATGCTAACCTTGGGGGCAGATCCATCACTTCATCCATATGCTCTGCAAAGCAAACGGGCCCAGGACTCAGTAGCTTGATTCTTAACTCCTCTGAAAGGAAGGGGCAGAGAGGACCACAGGGTCAGCTTCCACTGACTCCAGCTCATTGACATAGTTTGAGGGAGGTCACTTGTAAAACCTCACATTTTTACAGAGACATCTAAGAAGAAAAAAAAAATGGTGACTTCTTTGGAGCGGAGGGAAGTCAAGTTTGGAGGAAGTGTTTGAAATGGGTTTAATCGAGCCACCTAAATAGAAGTCACATGTAGTTCTTCAGAACTCTAAGTAAACTCTTGAGAAAAATAGAACAGAAAAGGCTACCTGACAGGTTTGTTGATAAAATGTAAATAAACTTCAAATAAATTTTAGGTGCAAGTTGAAGAGAAGTGATTATTAATTTGTTCTAGTTTGAGTACTAAGTGAACTGGATGTTTATTGACAGTCTTTGAGGCTCCTATTTACCAACAGAGGTGAATTCTAGTTATCTTGGTCAGCTGGACAGTCCTCATTATAAAAGACTGGTATGTGCAAGAACCTAATAGAGTTGAGTAAAGCATATGGAAGACAGATGGAGGAAAATGAGAAGGGGCGGCAATAAAAGTATACTGCAGCGATTTTATGTTCTTGAGCGCCCCTTTCAGGGAGATGGAGCCATATGGGGCTGTGTGGAGCCATATGGTGGTCCTCCATGTGGCCCCCAGTGGCATCTACCAAAGGCTAGATGAAACTAAATGGTCCTGGAAGCTGAGAAGACTCTGTCTGGATTCTTAATATCCTACATTCCTGCACCCACTGCAGGTTATAGAAGATAACTGAGTCAGAGAAGAGAGTAATTATCCATCTTTTCCCCACTAACATCTTTTTGTGGTGAAGATGTAGGTGCAGTTTTAATAGAGGAGATCTAAACCTACATTGGAATAAATCATTGTGGTTACTAATTGAGGTTAGCACGCCAATGGCAGAAAATGTAGGCAGCTGGCGGGCTAGGAAGGAGAATGCCAGAGTAGGCAAAGGGATGTTGATTTGATGCATTTCTGTTGCAACTTTAATAAGAGAATAGCAAACAACTAAGCATTTCATAGGGTACAGCGTTCTGTCACAAGTTGTACAAAGTTTAAAAAATAAAGAATTTAAGATCCTTAGGATCAATCTTAATAATGGTTTTCCTGAGTAATTTGGCTCATGCAACATTTATCATAGTATTTTTCACAGCCCCTTATATGCAAACCTTTCCTTGCTGGTAGTACTAGATGTTTCATGAACAGCTGTGAAACAAGTGAATGAATTTTGAGAACTCTTGAGTAGAAAAGAAGGAAACTAGGAAAACATTTAGATCTTGGGTCTTCCTTTCCATTCAGCTTTGAAATCTTCATAATTCTCTGCTCAATTAGCAGGAACACAGCCAAGTTAATAACAGCAACAAAGACCAGTTTCATTGACATTCCTAAACATTTCCACTTTCATTTTTTTCTTAATTTAAAAAAAATTGGTTTTCATACAGTTATTCAAATTCATTGTGTTTCACGCATGTACTCTGTGTTTTCTACAATCATTCATATACATTGTGTTTTATTTAATTACTGTTGATCAGTGCCTTTCTCATCAAATCCCTATTGCACTCTGCTTATCCCTTCACCTGCCCCATCCAGCACTAAGCCCTGCTGCCCTAGCAGTCCCCTCCCCCCAGCTCCCTCTTCTCCCTTTACTTTACCTTAATCTTGAGCATTTCTACTTCTACCATAACTCTCCATCATTCAAAATGGAAAACTACTTAGGTCTGGAGATGGGATATTTATTTGTGAACATGAAAGTGATTGAAGCCATTTTCAAAATTTTCCATTTCGGCCAATGTTCTGACAGAACTTGAAACATTTGGAATGTTTGAGAAGAAGCAAATACTTTGTGCAACTTTGTCTTTCATCTCTCCAGGAATAAGACAGACATCAGTGGACATTCCCAACCTGGGAGAATTACAAAGAGGAAAAGGGGGAAACCCAGAGGTGTGGGCAGGGAAACCAGAAGGATGGGAGGGTAGAGGCATAGGCTCTAACCACTGCAGTGCTCTCTTAACCCTTTCTCCTCCCTGAAAAGGGAACTTAAATATGCTGAACTTAAACATGCTTCTTCTGGGAATAATGATTTCCGTTTCAAAGCATGCGGAAACACAGTTATTGGGAACATTATGTAGAGAAGAGCCTTTTTAATCAATTTCTTTCCTTCTAAATCTGTGCTACAACAGACCTACATCAGGGAAACCATAAGAGGAAATACATTATTTGCTCACCTCATCCTTCTTGCCATTTCTCCCGGTCCTCATATCCATGTCCTTTATTCATGTTTTTTGAAGAAAATGTCCTGATTTTTCCAGGTTTTCAGCAACCACAGGCAAAGCAAGAGAATAGGATAGGCAGTGGAGAAATATGTATAAAGTCAGGTAAAGTCTACCGGATGATTCTCATTAGGCCTGGCCTGATTTGCTTAAGGCATGACTGGCTTTTTTTTTTAACTTAGTGACGTTATTGCTCAGCCTTTACTGTTAGTATTCTATTTGGAAAAGTCTGTCCAGCTTGTTTCTGTCTCTTCCTGGAGCTCTCCATCTCAGGGGTTTGCTTCAGCCGCACATAGTAGAGCAAGTTTTCTATTGCAGAAGTGAGGCTCCTTCTGCTTTGCAGCCTTTGTTGAAAGACCTGATTTTATATTGTAAGAGTGTCTCCCTTAACTGATGAACTGCAAAAGTTGTTCTTCATCAGCAGCTTTGAGACTTTTTCAGAGCACTGCCCTGCCAGGACACTGAGTTAAGCTAGAAATAGCACCACACGACTCTTTACATTGTCGCTCCCTAATAACCATGTCACAAGTGCTTGTTGTGAGGGAAAAGAAAGTTAAGAATGTTTTCCTTCTGATTACTGAAATGGTAGGCAAACTGGATGAAGGTCTTCCTTTTGAGATTTCTGGAAAGATGTTGGGTGCCTCTGTATCAAGCCTCTGCTCCAAGGTCCCCAGACCTTCATCCTGCTGCAGTGTCACTGACCCCAAAAGGATGAATCTTTTTT